CTGCTTGAGCTGTCTGAACTGGGTTACCCCTGGCTGGGACTGCAGACACACTGCTCTCCCAAGGATAACCCCACTGATCCCAAAGCAGTGCTTTGGAGCTATTTCTAGGAGGTCAGAAACCAAACAACTGCTTGGACCTAAAAGGCACACCTCAGGTTTCGTATCCTCAAACCTTGACCCTCTGCGTGCATATTTGCCCCATTGCATTCTCTGTTCCCTCTGCACCAAACCCAGCCTGCTCAGGTCAGATTTGCCACTGAGCACTTTAGGCTTCAGCAGGGTGAAATCACAGCCCATGTATTGCCCTGATGCAGAGCCCTGTTTGCTTTATATTTTGCGGTCGGGTATTTTATAGTCCAGGGATATCTGCTAATCCCAAAGTACAATAAAAAAACCCATATCTTTCATAAATACACAGGGCAGGGATGGGCACATTCCCAAGGTCGTACGGAGAAAAAGAACATTCTGGATATTGTTTCCTTGCACTTGGAGGCTGCCTTTATTTAATGAATTCAGACAGTAGTCGGGATTTGCAGGATCTCTATGTAGGATTATTTGATGATTATTCTTTTTACTATTGGCCCCATTCTCAGGGAGAATACGTGCTGGGGCTTTTTGTTGTTTTTTTTTTTTTTTTTTTTCTTTCCAGCTATGAATGGTTCAATCTAAAATCCTTTCCTTTTCCAAATCCATTAAGAGGTGGTTCTGATCAGAGGGATGGACAAGGAGTGAAGCAAAGAGCAAAGCATCGACCAACACCTCCTTAATCCAATGGCTTTGCTGCAGAGCTTTGGGATCTCTGTTACTTGGTGCTCCTCCAGGGTGAAGCAGGACAACTTTTCTTATTCCTACCTTCCTGCTGGAGAGCAACATCAGCACTGGCGTGGACACTCTTTTAGGAGTGAGGGCTGAGACTCCTGAACCACAGAATCATAAAGGTTGGAAAAGACCTCTAGGATCATCTAATCCAACTGTCCTGACAATGACCTGGCCAAGCTCGTCCCCATTTTGGGTAATTCCCACAAGAAAAGGGCTCCCAATCCTTTACTGACACCCCCTGAATTTTCAGGGGAGCGTCCCAGCTCCTCTGCAAAACCAAACTTCAGCAGTGCCCAAGCAGAGGGGCCAGAGCTGGGGAACCAACAGGCAGAGCTGGAGCCCATTCTGCTGGCCAAGCACGGTCTCCAGAGGGGCAGCACCTCCTGGGAGGCACTGGAGGATGGCAGAAAGGCAACGCTTGGTGTCTTTTTTCCACCCACACCTGCACCCACTTTTCCTAACCATGCAGAACTTGGCACTTGGCTCAGGCTGTTACCCATTTCCCAAAACTGAGTTATTCCAACCCAAATCCCGCAGCAACATCTGAGCAGAGCATGGCTTTATTTTATGTATATATTTAAATTATTCTTCTTAGTATCTCTGACAGAGATAAGCAGGCTCAAGCTGAGGACGAAACTGAGAACTGAACAGCTCAGCAGAGCAAACCATGGGGGTATTGGCTGGAGAAGGGACACGGGGAGGTTTTCCTGCAAGCAGTTCTGGCAGTGCTTTCCTGATAAAGACAGTGCCAAAATCTGAACTTCTCCTCTCGTGCTGGTGTTCGACCCACTTTTAAAGCTCCTTTTGCATGCATCATCTTTTCAAGCCCGCATCTACAGGGTTGTCAGACTCAGGCTGCTCTCGCCAAATAGAAAAATGGACCCAAATGTCACCCCTCTTCTTGCCAGACTGGAGTGCAAAGCACTCAATCGATAAACTGATTTCTGCCACCGCTTAAGCACGTGTTAATTAGGAATATTCCCCGCGGAAAGGCAAGGAGGAGGGCTTCCCCAGATTGCTGGGGGGTTTGGAGGAGAACAGAGCATCACCCACTCCTTTTGCAATGGAACCCACTCCCACTGCAATTTAAAGTGTGCCTGAATTCCCCCCATGCTTAGATTTAATGTGGGGACACACACGCAGCACCAGTGCAGACCATCAGAAACATCATTCCCCATCCCTTTCTCACTTTTTTTGCCACTTTTGCCTACTGATCAAAGGGAATGACAGCTTCAGATTTAGGAGGCACGGTGCTTTGGGCTTCACCAGCTCTGGGATGCAAAGGATTGAGCAGCAAAGAGCCCAACAGCCACAGCTCTCCAAACTCACGTCCTCCAGTTCCACAACCTCCAACCTCATGCCCTCCAGTCCCATGTCCTCCAATCTCATATCCTGCAGTCCCATATCTTCAAACCTCACATCCTCCTGCCCCAGACAGATAAATCATGCCCTGAAGTTCCAAGAACTCACTGCATCATTCTAAGAGAATCCTCCTGACCCTTTGACGGAGGACTGGGTACCGCTCTTAGCCCAGCCAAAGCTGTCACATAGTCTAGCTCTAAATTAAGTCCTTCCATCCCTATCATTCTGCAGCTACCCTCAGTGTTTTTTTTCACAGGTTAACTCTGCAGTTCCTGAACAGCTACAGGAGATAGCAGACACTGAGGCATGGCTCACTGGCTGTTCCTTGTGTCTTCTGGTGATACTGGGATGTACTGGGACAGGGACCAAAATGGGACAGGGAGTAAAGGTGGGCTGTCGGTTCTTGCCTATCTTTTCTAGATACTGAAGTTTGCTCAGCTCTAATGGAGCTGGTTCAGCCCTAACGGGATTTTTGATGCTGACTCCGGCAGCATTATGGCTGTATATGGGGACAGCAGGTGTTACAGATCCCACAGAGCCTGTCCTGACACAGCTGCAAAGTCACCGTGGTGATGGAGATGCTAACCCAACCCAAGAACATGGGAGAAACCTCAGATGTCACTAAAGCCTCACTGTACCTACACTTTCCGGCCCTCAGCACCCCTCACTTTTCTTTGGCCTTTGAGTTAAGATTAGTTAGATAAAGACCGGGATGGATTGTGACAGAGACTGTTTTCCAAGAGGTTGTCTATTCTCATATATTGATGTTTCCCCCCAGCGCGATGCTGGAAATGGGGAAATACCTCCCCACCTGCCCTGCATGAGTTCCTACCAGACCCAAAAGAATGTGACAACCCATTGGAAAGGACCTGAACAGAACCAGCACTGGGGTCAACCCTTTTCCCAACACATCTCAGTTGGACTAGATGATCTGAGAGGTCATTTCCATCCTTAATAATTCTATGATTTCTATGATCTCCATCCCTCCTGGAGAGCAGACACCGCGTTAAGTGGTGTCTTGTGGTCAGGTGGTGGCTGTGCCACTTCCTACACCAAGAACTGACCAAGCGATGCTGATGCCACCCATCACCACTCCATCAGGGATGGAGAAAGGAAGCAAAGCACGTGTCAAAGCAGCACACCCAGCGATGAGTTGATATCTGGTGGCTGATTTCTGCGTGACTTGATTTCTGTGGCGGGACTTTGGTGAGAGAGTGAATGTGGATCTCAACCAGTTGCCCATCACCACCATCAAGGCAGATTGGGCAGCCTTTAGCCCTTTTTGGTCACTTCTGTAAAGGTTTTCTCCCTTGGTGTGAGCAGGAGCAGGTGAAAATAGTGCCAGGGAGCAAAGGGTTAATACTACTTTCACAGTTTGCTCCTGTGTGTAAACTGTCTGCAGTCCCCATGCTCTCCAAAATCAATCTCGGAAAGCAAGGCACTGTTTTGCAGATTTGCAAATTAGTAAGATTAAATGGAAATGTAATGAAATGAAAATTAAACGTCCTTCTTCTTTTTTTCTTTCTTTTTTTTTTTTTTTTTTTTTTTTTTTCTGAGAGAGAGAGAGAGAGAGACAGAGAGGCAGAGAGACAGAGAGGAAGGAAGGAAAAAAAAAGGAAAAATCGCCCTTTCCTGGGAGGTGTCTTTTGAGTGATCCCCCAAAACGCCTTTCCCGGAGCAGCTCCCTGTCAAACTACACGCGCTTCCGTCCGGAGGGACTGAAAAGTGATTCAAACTCTCCGGGAAGCACAGACATTTTTAATTTCATCTGGTGCAGCAGCTCGGAAAGCAGCGAGATCAGCCACCGGGGCTGCAAAAGTGGCTCTCTGCTTCCTCAAATCCCCCCAGAAAGCAGAACGGTTTTACTCGTCAAGGAAACAGCCGAGAAAAGAAGGATGGGGGGCACTCACCAGAGCGTAGACCGAGCTCAGCACGGAGCAGCAGAGGATCAAACCCAGGCTGTGATAAACCAGATATGATCCCATATCCAAGGGGCTCCTTCCAGCATCCACGCTCTCTCGGGGAAGTTGGAGGACGGAGAGGTCTTCCAGCGCTCCTCTCGCAGATGATTTCTCCTTCTCCTTCCCTCCCTCCAACTCCCCCCCCCACACCCCCCCTCACTTTCCAGAACCGGTGTTTGTTTGCTTGTTTGTTTTTGTTTGTTTGTTTTTAGCCAGAAAGGCACATGACGAGAAAACCCGGTCCTTTGCTTCGCTTTCTCATGGCTGGAGATGCGGGCAGCTCCCGAAAGGCAACGGAGGAACCCATGTGAAGAAGAGGAGCGACTTCGGCTTCGCTCAGCTCCGCAGCCCCCGGTGCTGGTTGTTTTCCGCGTGCATCTGTCTCAGAGCAGAAAAATCACATCCATATGTCAAAGCCGCTCTCTTCTGTTTCCTTTTTATGAGGCAGTGGGAAGTTCAAATAATTTCTTTGTCAAACGCAAACACACAGAAAGAGGCAGAGAGGGAGGGAGGGAGGGAGAAAGGCGAGAGAGGGGTGGAAGGGGTGGGAGATCGGAGAGGGTGGGGGAAGCTTTAAACCACGGCTTTATTTTTAGATCCAGTAATTTTATCTTTTGGGTTTCGGAGGGGTTTGGAAAGAGAGAGAAAGAAAAAAAAAACACCTTTTTTTTTTCTTCTTCTTCTTCTTTTTCTTCTCTTTCGGCCACACGAACCGCTCTCAGAGCAGAAAGTTACGGGAGAAAAAAAAATAGCGAAAACTTGGCAATATTTTCCCTCCTCAATTACCTTTTCGCAAACAGCGGTGCTCTGGGTTTGGTTTTTTTTTTTCTTTTTTTTTTTTTTTTTTTTTTTTTTTTTTTTTTTTTTTTGCTGGTGTATCGCCGCGCGTTTTGCCTCCACAATCGGTTTATTCTCCAGCCCTCCGGGTCGCAGTGTGTTTCAGTTACTAATCGGGATTTTTTCGCTCCTCTCTCCCCTCTCTGCTTCAGAGGATCTGCAGTTTCAAAAAGCCGATTGAGCACGGCGTGAGGCTGACGACCGGGGGGGGCTCCTACCGCCACTAGGTACTTCATTTTAGATTATACTTTTTTTCTCGCGGCCAAAAAAGAGAAAAAAACGACTTTCCCTCCGCGAGATGTTCTGAAATCTTTTTCGATTCGCCTCTGTGTCTTTACTGTTTGAATTTTTTCCCGTTCTCTCACTCTCACGGAAGAGCAGTCCTCGTTCCGTGCCCCGCAAGGAGGAGCCCCAGTTGAACCCACAGCGCATCGCATCCCCGCTTTCCCCCCCATATCCCCAGCATCTCGCACTCCCTGTGGATGTCACCAGCATCGCTGTTTCAGGGCTGGGGATGGTACTCCCAGCTCAGCCGGGCACTTTCATTCATAAAAATGCAAGGTAAATATACATATATATACATATATATATATATACACATAAATAATAATAATAAGAAAAAACAACACGATAACCCCCCCAAAGCCATGCCGCTGGGGGTGAAACTCCGGCAGCCATCCCCTGATCGGGTTTATTTTCTGTGTGGGAGGAGAAGCGAGGAGGGGACAGGGATGCAGCAGGCGGGACACAGCGCTGCGCTGCGGGTTGAATGACTGGGGAAACTTTGGACATCAACTCCCGCGCTTTGCTTTGCTTCGCTTTTTCTTTTCACTTTTTTTTTTTTTTTTTTTTTTTTTTTTTT